AGATAGATAAATATGACAATAAACAGGTATATAGATTGTTAGCTAGCTAGCTAGTTAAATATGTTGATAGATACAGGGTCATGCACCAACAATCGGTACTGTAAATGGAAAGGGGTAAATCTATCTCTATCCACCCACAAATATGCGTGAATAGAAGAGCAATTGGAACCTGTTACCGATGTAACGGCAGTTCCACTAAAAGTCGGTTAATCCGAGAAAAAAAAAAAACGGTAATCCTAAGTCCGGGTAACGGAGGAAGGATAGGCATAGATGTTATTGCACCCTTCTGAAGATCTGTCTCTGAAATGAAAAGTATATATATATATATATATATATATATATATATATATATATATATAATTTAAAGAAAAACAGACCACTCTAAGACGCCATTGTAATAAATTGTTTCACTTTTTTATTTTTTTTTATTTCAGAAATATCACTTTCAAAATATATATATAGAACGCTTTATTTAAATTATATATATATATATATATATATATATATATATATATATATATATATATATATATATATATATAAATGTAAAAGATAAAAAAAACTGTAATAGTTATGACATATGTCGCGTTTAGTCCGATGTGGACTTTTCCAGGCAAAACGAAATGAATTTATTAAACGTAGTAACAAAAATAAAAAAAATTATTTATTGAAAAATAGTTTGAACAAAATAACTATAAACAAAATGTTTTTGTTTTTTTTTGCTATCCTCTGCCAGTCGCAATTACTGTCATTTAATTTCAGTTGACATGAAATATAGTTAGTTTGTATCCAGTTGACAGTTTAGATATTTCTGAACGAGTGGACGTCGTGATGACATCTACATGAAAGCCTATATCTGACAAATCTATTTAGAAACATGACTCGGATTTTCACTTTAATCTTTTAGTTTTGTAGCAACATGCGGTATTGTGCGAAACTACCCTTAATGCAGCCTATTCTGTGTACAATTTCCTTGTCTCCTATACTAAATTTGTTATAACTGATCCATACACCGAGATATTTAAAGTTTTACTATTAATTAATTCCACATACTGCAGATTCATTTTGTTGGATTCAAGGTAGGTGACATCACTACTTTCATTCCAAATTCTCATCATCTTTTCTGTTTTGAAAAGTTTTACTTACTTGAAATATTCGTTAGATATTGTTGATTTTTTTTTTTTTTTTTTTTTGTACTAGACCACTCTTTTTCCTAACTATGAAGAGTTAAACCACCTTCATCAGTACATTGTCTTCGGGAAGGAAATCAGGAACGCTGAAATATCTTGTTCCAAAGCAGCTCAATTCTTTATGGGGCAATGTAAAAGATTAACCAATAAATGTAAAAAGAGAAAATGCTTAGAGTCAGCTCATACTCCGAGTCATGTATCGGAGAAGTCAAAATCAAAAAGGCGTGGAAACTGAACTAAATAAAATAGTTTTATCTTTACGTGTCACAGAAAGGTCAATCATCTTTTATTGATTACCGACTCTAGTGTCCTTGTAGAGTCTATTCTCCTTAAAACATCTCCATTTCTCACATGCCTTGACCGTCGTTTTTTTCTACTCGTGTACACTCAATAAAATGCTCAAGAGCCTGTCAAGGTAGAAGATTACTGAATGGGGTTTTAGCCAGGAATCAAAGCAGAAGATATGGAGATACACTGCATAAAACGATACTTAGTTTTTCCGTTATCGTTTTTTTCAATCTATTCTTATTTCGCTTACTTTCTTTAAAGCATCTTTCGGTAATCCTGCGAGATTTTGAATTTCTGTCATACTTTCCTCCGTCTGTTACAGTTCATATTTTGCTATTTTTGTTCAAGTACTTTCGATTTTCGCTGTCATTATCAAGAACCGTTGTTGTGTCCTAATAATACCTGCAAAAGTCGAAAAAACAAAAATAACAAAAATATTCATAATTTATATAATATATATATATATATATATATATATATATATATATATATATATATAATAATTTCAGAGTTAACCTGCGTCCTGGGTAAGACGATAAACTACATCCAGCAGCAAGGCCACTGATCAGGAGGTTTTGAGGAGCGTGGAACCACCTCTTAATTGCTGGTGTTCCCAGGTCCACCCCTGGGTGGTAGCACTTGTTAAGGTCCCAGCTATGGGCAAATAGTTAACTATTACCAGCAATATTTTTTGAGAATTTTTTTTATCAAAAATACAATTTTGAAGGAAATATATTACCAGAAACAGAACAAAATCTTACCAGCAATAAAAATGTTATTGGCATTAAATAACCCATTGAGGATGATATGCTGTTAAACAATCCAAACCAATCTAAACCAAAAAATACATATTCTATTCATAGGAAATAATCCTAAAAATGTTGTCGGCATTAAATAACCCATTGAGGATGATATGCCGTAAAACAAAATAAACCAAACCAAATCAGAGTTAACCTGTAGAAAAAAGACAATATTTATAAACAGACAATAGGAAAACTAATAGTTGCCGACGCGTTTTGTCCGATGTGGACTTTTTCAAGGCAAAACAAAATGTCCTTAGCAACTGGAAGAATTTAGAGAACGCTATTTTCATACTGTTAACTGAAATTAAGTAACAGTAATTGCGGCTAGCAGAGGATAACAAAAACAAACATTTTGTATATAGTTACTTTGTTCAAACTATTTTTCAATAAATAATTTTTTATTTTTTGCTACTACGCTTAATAAATTCATTTCGTTTTGCCTTGAAAAAGTCCACATAGCACTAAACGCGTCGACAACTATTACAGTTTTCCTATTGTCTTTTACATATATATATATATATATATATATATATATATATATATATAAATCAAGAATGGCAAACCCTATGATAACAAATAAAATGAAAAGGCATGCTGTGATTGTGGAATTAAAAGCTGATCATAGCGATTTGGATATTGCACGTTTCCTCAGATTTGCAAGATCATTTGTCCACAGGATACGAAAAGAGTTAGAAGACGCTGACATTTCACCAATGTGTGTATCAAAACGTAAAAGACATTCTGAAGGTTCTGATGAAGTAAGAACATCCGAATTTATTCAGGATGTCTATCAGACAGTTGATGAAAACCGAGGTCAATCAATAAGGTCAGTTACCAAAAAGCTGCATGTGTCTGAAAAAACAATCAGAAGGAGTGTTCATGAAAACATTGGATACAATTCCTACGTGATGAAGAGAGGTCAATTTATGTCTGAAAAAAAAACCCCGTTTAAACAGATCCAAAAGGCTCTTAAACAAACTTAAAAATCCTTCAGAAGCTAGTGTGATTTGTTTTGTCTCAGATGAGAAAAATTTTGATTAAGATCAAAAACTTAACTGAAGATATGACAGATGGCTTTGGTCACATCCTTCTGAGGTGCCAAGAGTGATGTGCACACAATTTCCTTCAAGTGTTATGGTATTGTGTGCTGTTAGCAATGAAGGACATGTTATGCCACCAGACTTTTTTCCGCAAGGTCTTAAAGTAAATGCTGCTGCTTACATCAAGGTTCTAGAAACAGTTGTCAAGCCCTGGATTGACAACATATGCAACGGCTAGCCTTACATATTTTAGCAAGACTCGGCTCCATCCCACAAGTCTCTACGAACACAAGAATGGATGGTTGAGCATTTGTATGGTCATATCACACTCAACATTTGGCCTCCTAACTCTCCAGATCTCAATCAACTAGACTATTATGTGTGAGGCATTGTTGAGAAGGAGGTTAATAAACAGCCTCATAACACCAAATACTCTCTTAAAGCTGCAATAGTTCGAGTAATGTCTGATATAAATCAGGACAAATAAATCAGAGCTTGAAGCCGATTTCGACCTCGTGTAGAGGCAGTTATTGATGCTAGAGGTGGTTTTATTGAATAAAATTAAATAATAGTTATCTAAATTTCATGTTAACTTGTTTGTAATAAAATATAATTATATTCATTTATTCAGCAAGTTTTTTATTAATCCATAAAATCTGTTCTCAAATACCAGCCACACCCTATATATATATATATATATATATATATATATATATAGTATGAATACATATATAAGTTATAAGTAGATCAGTAAGTCTGTAGCCTAACGCTAACAAAACATTTATTTTACACAACAAATATTTTTTTCTTTGTCTAAATTCAGTTCGTGTCATGCTGTGTAGATATTAACGTGCTTTCGTATATATTCGTCTGACTGTTCGAATACTCTGAGTTAAGTGAATTACTGTTTGATATAGAAACCTCCAGATGCATAGGAGCAATTACTAGGAAATTGAAAACGAACCTGGATTAAGCAATGTTTCCGCCCAACAGATTATATGTTGTGTCGAGGCTAGAACGTAGATAGACCGCTTTTCGCAGAAAATGTGATACTATCAAGAAAAAAACAACCCACAGACTCTCTGCGATTTTAATATCTGATCGAAAAAAAAATATTAAAAAGCAGACATAAATAAAAGTTTTATAGATAAAAATCGACTAATCCGACAGCTCCAAGGAATTTGAAATGTCAGATTATCTGAAATGCAAAATAATACTTAAGACATAAAATGATACCCATTGATTATTCGATAATCCTGATGAATACAAGATAGAAAATGAAGAAATATATAGGGTGTGTTTGTTTGTGTGTGTGTGTGTGTGTGTGTGTGTGTGCGAAATTATCCATTACACAACTCACACATCCAAGCTTACAGCACCTGGTATTCCCAAGCGGTCACCCATCTAGCTTCTGACCAGGTTCGACGTTGCTTAGCATCAATCATCGTACGGGAACTCGGATCACCGATTAACAATTCCGAGCTCTTATCCATTACACCACTCGCACATCCAAGCTTACAGCACCTGGTATTCCCAACCATCAAGGTTCTGACCAAGCACGACGTTGCTTAACTTCAATGATCGTACTAGAACCGGTTTTTGAATGTGGTGCGGCCAGAAGCCCGTAAGTGTATGGTGGAATTGCCTGTAATATTTATTGTTCCGAGTGCTTTTGGCTA